TTGAATCTTGAATCTTAGACCTTGGGCTGGGGATCCAAGAGCTTCTATTTGAATCTTGAATCTTGAATCCTAGGCTGGGGATCCACGAAGTTCTGATTGAATCTTGATCTTGAGTCCCTGTACTTTGCAAGTTTGGCAAACAATGTATTTGCTTTGCACTTTTCTTCATTAGCAAAGAAATCATAAAAACAACTCCAAGGACTACAAAGGTTTGCTTGAAACAGGTCCAAAATTGTGAATCAAATCCACACCTCCAACATGTATCAACAACCATGCAATTACCATTAAAATTAGAACAAGGTAGGTCTATAGGGGGTACTATATACACATATATATATATGTTTAAATATATATATATATGTATACATATACTGTGTGGCCACAGTAGTGTTTTCCTTTTTTGTGTGGCCGTCTTCATGGTTTACATTGTTTGTGTCTTTTTCTCTTATGTATGTTCACATTCCATTACCTTACATTTAGTCAGGAGCTTGTTACATTGTTCCCGGAAATTTAGGAGACCAAGTCCCAACTGCCTGTCGCACAAGATTTTGAGTGGCATAAATTTGAATCCCCATGTAACTGCGGCTTTAGTGAAAACAAATGGAACCACAGAACCACTAAAAAACAGTTGACCTGAACAGTTGTCCTGCAGCTATTTCTAGAATTTCCACTTTCAGATCATAGGTCTGAAGCAAAAACTAGTGTCTCTCCCCCAAGTAACTGCGAATCGCTGCGACTTCCTGGGACATTACCGCCAAGCTAAATCTGTTGAGTTTTAAAATCGAGGCGACTTCCAGCATTGAGAGTATGAGTGGTGTGGGGATAGCTCATAGGACAATCCAAGCCCCAACAGAAGCTCAAAAAGGGTCCCAGACCTCGCGAGGGCGCCAGGTGAGTCTTTCTCCAAGACTCCATGTAAGCCTTGAACACCAAAGGTAAGCAAATGTAGGTAAATATGTTCACCTTCCCAAAGATAGGTCTTCGCCTTCACTTTTGGGTCTTCGATGCCCGCCCCACTTCGTTTTCGAAGAAGGTTTCCATGCGTGCACGGAAATCTTCCATTATAGGAAGCTCTTTTGCCCGCTCCACATGACTGTCGCCGCTCTGTAAGAAGGAGAGTCTGCATGCCCGTAGGCGATACATGGATACTAAATACCCGGATAGTCTCAAGATGTCTCAAGGACTTTTGGTTCTTGAGCTCTTTTGAGCAATTGTCCGCCTGAATGTGCAGGTGGACCTGTGGCCAGTGTATGCCCCAAGAAACTCCCTTGGTCAGAACTGCTCCTAGCGACTCGAGCGTCCGGCTCGAGTTGCCAGGCGTGGTTGGCGGGGACATAGCCACCAAAGCTCCCCAGCCATGCGCCAAAACAGTCGTAGAAGAAAGGCGCGGACGGTGGTACTTCGCAAACTGCTTGCTGAGGAAGCATTGAGATTTCGGAAATTAATGTTTCGCCTGGGACTGGTCAAAGGAATCTATGATGCAAGACACCAAATTGACTTCACTGGGTGGGCCAGAAGCTTGCAGTCGGCTTTCCGCGCGGTACCGATACTCCAATAATTGCTCTTTGCGAGCTGGCCCGGGCGGAACGCCCTTTATGATCATGCGGTGGCGAATGCAAAGGCTGCATTTGGCATGGTGAGTTGTACTGCGGATTCTCAATTTCTGCATAAAGTCCCTTTGCCACACGTCGGCAAACAACTTCTTCGACACCTGGCTTTCGGGATGCATCGCTCGCAGGAGCTGGTAATAATGACTCAGCTTTCCAGGTGGTAAGTGCTTGAGCTGAGAAACATCCATGTCTTTAGGGTCGCGCTTCCACTCTCCTTGCCGTGGTCTCTTGGTCGAATTCCCCTTGTCGGGGAGTGGCTCCGCCACCGTGCGCCAAAGGTCAAATCAAAAATCCCCTAGGGATCCAAGTACCTTCTCAGAAGGTAATTGGACCCTCCAAACCTACATAACAGTGCCTCCAATCACCTTCTCATAGGGTACTTGGATCCTTAGGGATCATAGATCAGCTGCCTTTTGTCCGAATCCACTGTGCGCCCTTTTGAGGGACGAACCGGCCGTCCACCGGACAGTCTGTGACATGGGCTTTCACCCCTTGCAGCTGCAGGCGCTGCCATCGTTGCTTTCAGCGGTGGCTAAGCCCAGGCTACCCGAGTCGCATGAAACCCTTGTTGCAAATACGGCGGCCGAGGAAAACGTCGCATCAGAGAGGGGGGTTTCTGCTCCCCCCAAACCGCACAAGGCGGCCAATGTCAAATCCGGACAATGGCACAAACCTGTACCAAATGCTATGACATAGATCCAATGTATCCCTTTTTATGGAGTCATAGATCCACTTTCCCAAGGCGGCATGCAACAATCATCAACCGCTAACCCTAGGGATCCAGTCGTACCTCCTCAGAAGGTAGGACTCTACCCTCCTGGCACCTACATGTCACAGTGTCTCGAATCACCGTCTAAGAAGGTACGACTGGAATGTCTAGGGTAAGATGCCACCTCCTCAAACCCAATCAAATGCATGCAACAATGTCCTTGTCTTATTGGTACAGCCTGTGCCTTCCTGTCGGCCCAAGGCGGTTTCTTGAGCAAGGACACGCCTCACAGAGGGCTTGAAGTTGTAGAGCCCCACCTGAGGAAGAGGGATCCGTCCAGACTCAGAAGAGAAGGGGGGCCAATTGGATAAATGAGTCCAGCTTCAAAGACCTTAGAAAATAGGACATGACCCTATATAAACAAGTACAATATATGTGTATATATATGTATATACACACGTATAGATACGTGTATATATGTCATACATGTTACATGTACCCAGATACTCATAGTATTCAAACACAAACTGGGTTCGTAGTGAGACCGACCGACCTTAACTCAGCTGTTTAGATTGTGCAAAGCGATGAAGCAAGAAAACAGCTGGACAATGCTGGACACGTCATTAACATCTGAGTAATGAGCATGTTCATCTGAAGTCATGTTTTTGCTCCCCCTTCGGACTAGTGCACTGGCCCAGCTCAACTGATCGGGAGTCATAGGCCAGTCCCATGCATTGGAAGGTATATTGAATTAAAGACCTGCCAAGTAGATCGAAGTTACATAGATCCCCACCATGTTCAGGTATGTTCAGGTCATGGAAAGCGTGCCATCGGTTATTTGAGGACCAATGACGTAATGCCAAGCCGCAATGCCAATGCCCAGCCAGTCGGCGATGTCATGGGCGTTGGCCAAGGCCTGCGGAAGACGATGGACGATCGGCCATCCACCCGCCATCCTCGGGGAGCCACGTGCTCCTTCGTCCGGACATCGTTCATGTTGACAGGTATTCAAAGCCAAAAGGAGCCAACACACTGTGAAAACATGTGAAAACCTTGAGACTTTCACGATGAGGGAGGAGGTACAATACCTGGTAATATCTGAATGTGACCAACTGTGACCCATTTCAAAAGCCTTTTGCATCCATACAAAACCGCCCTGTTCGGCAGACCTTCGCCGGACATCGCTTTCCGGAAGACGACGGGTGTCACGGAACACACGGACGGGTCGCTTCCTATAAAAGGGATATGAGGTTCGGGTTCAGGCTCGATTCTATGTGAAGCATGCATAGTCTGGGAAATATATAGATCAAGATGTACTTCTCGGGACCCCTGTTAGTTCGGTCCCTAAGGATCCAAGTACCCTCTGAGAAGGTGATTGGAGGCACTGTTATGTAGGTTTGGAGGGTCCAAATACCTTCTGAGAAGGTACTTGGATCCATAGGGGGTTAGTTGGTGTTTTCTCCAGCGACCTGTCCTCGTCCCATCTGGGCCGCCCGAACAGTACTGAGTCCCACGAAGCGAATGGCCTCGCGGGCGAACTCACCCACGAGTCGAACGAGCCCAGAAGGTTCCGGTGCCCGCGGGGTGTCTGAGTACCTGGGACCCTAAGTTTGGAGCACCAAGGTCTAAAGAGGTGAAAAAAAAATCCAAATATACCTGGACCCGACTTCAAGTGCCTTGGCAATTAGGGCACGGACCAAAAAAAACATGACCCGAACCCAAACAGGGTACGAGTGGGGAAGAAGGTTCCGAGGTACGAACAGGTATGTCGAATGGCTCTAACGACGTGGGAGTTCGGTTATCCATCAAATTAACAACCCTTGTTACTAGTAGCTTCTAGCTACTAGTAGTAATGCCCTTAGTTACTAGATGTTCAGAAACATCAAAACAATTATGTTTGATTGACATAAATTGAGGGGTCCGTGTGGTACCATTCCATATGCCCATTGGCTGTACACTTGAGGTCTATCGATCTATCAATCAACCGGCCAGCTTCAAAGCTCAGTTCTGTGGCTGCAATGTGTAGCTGGAAACCAGCCAACTTGGGCTGGATTACAACCCTGCCAATGAAGTGTAAGTAGGCTACCGGCTAAAGATGGGTGCGCGAAATGCAAAAAGTGAAATAGGGCCCGCGTCTTTTTGAAATTAGAGTCGTAGGTCTAACTTAACCAAAGCACTATAGCACTTAACAAAAATCCACACGTGTATGCAGGGAAGGAAAAAGGTCCAAAACATGACATAATGAAATATTTGTTAGGCTTACAAATGTGGTACGTTCATGCAAATTCCATACAAGGAAGGTCTGGGAAACAAACAATTATTGGTCACCATGTGGGAATACGAGGATCACCGTTGGAGATGATGGTGTCAAGCTCTATGCAGCATGGTATGTTTACAATGTTTGAGGTCACCAATGACCAACAACTGGTCATGAACAAATTCCAGTTCCATATACCTACCAGGCCCTCCAAGGGGTGCCTAATAATGGCCCCTCAGAGATTGAGGGGTGTCCATTAACCACCCCAAACCGGGGACGTAGAGGATACATCGCCAGTCAAGTACTTGGAAGGTAAACCATCCATTTTCTTCCCGCCAGCGGTCTTGCCTTGTCCAGGTTACAAGAGATGTAGCGCATTCGGGACCTGAGCGCTTTTGAGGGTATTGCTACCATAAGAATCCTTGCCCGAACCAAATGGAAAGGGTTTGGTTTGGGTCCAGATATCAGAAATACCTATATATATATATATGTAAATGTCTAGGTCTACATCCCTGCTGTGGAGGGTCCTACCCCTGCCTTTGGGTGCCTGCGGATTCTCAAGGGTAGAATCAGAATCCAAAGGTCGTCCGTGGCCCAATGTGATTTGACCATCTATGACTCCTCTCTCCAACCTCAACCAGGGCTATGTATAGCTTTGGTAGGTGGCAGCTTGCTTTAGTTGGGGGACCAATGAGTCCTCTCTCTAACCTCAGTGATTGTGACGCCTTTCTGTGTTTTTTGCGTGAGTGGCGTCCATCTTCTGGGACTATCGGGTCGGAAAACCTTCGCGTGGATCTCCAGCGGTTCTGGTTCTTCGTGTGTTTGAAGGGGTCACTATAATATAGGGTCATTAGCCAAAACGCAAAAAACAACGGCAAAACGCATGCTGCTTTGAAATCGTTGGAATGTTGGTTGCCGGGCAACCTCCCCGTTTACCCAACATATTGCAACTGGGTGTAGGGTGTGAGGAGTGCTTTGGCGATGCAAGCAGTCCATGTCGTCGCGCAAGTTTTCCCCGGGTTTTTTCCGCGTGCGCCGTGGGCGCGGCCGCAGCACGTTGCGCGCGGCATGATGATAAAGCCACAACAATCATGCGGCGCTTGACCGTAGAGAAGGGCTCATTATTATGAAAAATCCAAGGCGATTGCGTGTTTCCGGCATGACTCCATGACCAATGTCATCAAGTGGCAAGGCGGTCGATCAGTTCCGAATCAAGGTCCTGCGCAGAATGTAAGCACAATGCTTATAGCCAGTAGTTACTATGAGAAAACATCGCAAGTACAGAGTCTTGCGCCAGCTGCGCATGGAGATCCACGGAACAGGTGCAACCAAGCAAGCCCGGTGGTCCGACAAGCGCTCCAGCTCTACCTCCAACACATTGAAATATAGGCACGCTGCGCAGGCTCTCGCCATCGTGGCCATCCCCCTATATAACGCTGACATTACGAGTCGGTAACCTGTCCCTGCTGTTTCGTGCGTGACAATCAAACCTAGTCCAGACCCCAAGCCAACGGGTGCGAAACATGATTGGACAACTGGTGATATTGGGTGGCCTGTGACCAAATGAGGAGGAAACCAAGTTGCTTGGCGTATGCCAACACCACTGGGAAATGATCGTGCTTCAAAATTTCATCTGAGCACTCTGCTGCAATCACTGTCGGTTGCAGTGCTGCTGCAATTTGGAGTGCTTCAAGAAATGCGAAACCATTATCATCTCCGAGGCCTGCAGACTTCCCTCCCTGCTCCAGGACTGGCAGGGGGGACTCATCGTGACAATGAGGTTGGTCTGGGTGCGGACAATGTTCAGCAACGTGAAATCATGAACTCTTCCGCAAACTCCCACCTTGCCAGCTGGTGTCCACTCAGTGGCATTTTTCAAAGACCACAATTGCATGATAAGCTCATCGGAATCCAGGAAGAATTCTTGTCCACAAGCCAAAGCTTCATGTCGGCCACAAAGCCACACCAAAGCCTGACTCCACCCAGAGAAGCCTCCTGAGAAGAGGTGTACTGCGTTCGAGCTCAGTTCCGGTCTAAAGGAAAGCGTCGCGTCCTTGAGCCAAATCTCCTTTTCCTGATGCTGCTTCTAAAGTAGTCCAGTGCACACCACCTGAACGCCTGCAAACAGGCAAATTGATCGCTTCGCCGGGTCCTGCATGCGGATCATCAAAGGCAGTTCCTGATCACAGCTCATCACAAATCCCTGACCTGGCAGGAAAGGAAGAGCAGCAACCGAAATCCAGTCAGGTCCAACGTCCAGGACATTGCCAACACACATAGTTCTGTCACCGAAACGGGGCAAGGCTGACGAAGCTTGCAGACCGTGGAACAGCCCTTTGATCTTGGACCTCAGGGGGTCATTGAGAACCCGGTCAGCCAGGCCTAGAGGGCCTGCAAATCCATGGCTTCGGAAACAACTTGACTCACACCGCAGAATCAAGTGTCCCAAAAACACGAAAGGGTGCGTGCTCTTGGGGATCACACTTGTTGACGCTCCCCACTCCCGTTGACTCGCAGCTGATCATACTAGTTACAGTATTGGGGGGCCGTTGCAGGTGGAAGAGGTCAGAGCCTAGTGTTGTGAGCAAAGACTGTGCTTTGGGGGTTCTTGATTTTCTAGGTTGAGAAAACAAGTGCATTACATTGGACAAATTGCGCTCAAAATTCAAAATTTGTCAATTGCCCGCTGGGGTGCTTCCGCGGCATCTGGGCATCAGCTTGCAACGGGCTAACCATGCTTGAAAACGGAGAGTGGTGGTGCTGGCTGCTGTTATTATTTAGAAGAAGCGCTTGAAACAGTACGGAAACGTCTTAACACCTTTAAAGCTATGATAGGCATCGAGTTCACAATGTCATGTGCGCTCCTCCTTCGGCTCGTACAGCGCGAGAGCGAGCAGCTGCCCGTCAGGTGTGCGCTCCTCCTTCGGCTCGTGCAGCGCGAGAGCGAGCAGCTGCCCGTCAGGCACCTCGGCAAATCAAACCACACGAGCTACATTGCCGAAAAGGCAAGCATGATTCTGCAATGCATACACATGGCTCAGGGACTGGCATTTGGCAACTCTGACTTCATGGGGTCAACTTGGCTGGTCAAATCTTTGACGCCGTCAGAGGGCGGCGGAAGAAGACTCCCCGCAGGATCCACATAGCCCTGCACGTATCGGCCTTGTCTGGCAACCTGGCAGATGACAAAATTGTCGGTAAGCAGCGCACCAATGGCAGCAGCAAGCTACCAAGCAGCAGCAGCCCTCATTTCAACGCGACGCGATGGCGGCGGGCCTGCGTCGAGCGTGCAGGTCTTGCAGGCGTCGCCCCCCCATTTCTTGACTTGTTTGCGTTCCCATGCAGTCCCAGTCAAACTTCTGCGATGCTCGTGCGAGTTGCCAGTCCACCATGCGCGCACGTCCATCAGCAGCGGCAGCTAAGTTCCCGGCCCCATGTCTCACACTGCATGGTTGCGTTGCAGCACAGCGAGGGTCAATCCAAAAGCTTGGAAAATGAAAGCGCAGCCTGCAATTCAATTTCCGTCCGCGTGGCAACAAGTAACAAGCTCCTTCCGTCAAATGAAATGCAATGCAGTCAGACCCAAGGACGCCGCAAGCTCACATATTTGGCTGCATGTCCTGCGCCATCTACTTTTTGCTCATTCAGAATCTATCGAGTGCTTCTCAGAAGTGTTGTATCGCTCAGCCATGGAGCAGGTGGTGTTGATAGTGTCAAGGCCTGTGTCCGGTGGCTACAGTGTTAGTTAGGGGTTGTGCATCCTACTTTGGACTCGCGTCGTCACCACGAGCCTCAATGTCGGGTGAGGTCCGGGGTCTCGGTCCAACTGGTTCCAACAAGGAAGTGCCCATTTCTGCTCGGGCCCGGCTGCACCCCGTGACCTATAAGGACTCGGAGCTCTGGCGAGCTTGTTGGGGGTGTGGCCTGGACCGCTGCTTGGATGGAGCCTAAGGAGTGCAAAGCAAAGCACACGTATCCAGTGATCGTGTTGTCAATATCCGCTCTGGCCCAGGGCGCCCATGGTGGGGATGTTCATGTGGTTCCTTCCCGGTGTCGACTTTAGTTGATGGGCTACCTTCCCCATTCTCGTTCGTTCGTGATGATGGCGGTGATGATGGTGGCGGTGGTGACGATGGTGGTGATGTGATGGTGTGGTCGTGGTCGTGGTCGTGGTCGTGGTCGTGGTCGTGGTCGTGGTCGTGGTGGTGGTGGTGGTGGTGGTGGTGGTGATGTTAATGGTGATGGATGGTGATGGTGGGGGTGATGGTGGTGATGGTGGTGGTGGAGGCGGTGGAGGTTCACAAGCCAGGTCTGGTTAGAATTGAAGGTCTAGGTTCTAGAGGTCTAGAGGTGGAGAGAGATGCCTGAGTACACATATGAGAGCACATTCCCTGCGCCTGCCATGAATCCACACTTTGAAGGTCCACAAAGTACTGCCTTCCACAAGATCTGCGCATCAAGATTCACAGCACGCAGCCCTGCCAAGGCGACTCGCAGCAAGAGCACTTCCAACGAGAACGTAACATCAAGATGCCCAAACACAGCTTTTGCTCGAGACTTCCTCCGAAAACGAGCCACATGTCCAAAAGTCTAACTCGATCACTGCGCCTGCCGAAGACCACCACCATATCCAAAACAGCGCGCCTGCCACGAAATCTGCACAACGTTACATCGACATAAAACCACTCTGATCTCCTGGACCTGTCACATGACTTTGGACCACCAAAACACCTGCCACGTAAAGTGATCACCAAATCCCAAAATGCGCACGGCACCACAACGAGAGCGCATTCTAAAAGAGCACTCGCCCGCACCCACCAGATTCTGCAGCCTGCACAGTCGAAATGCACTTCCAAGATCTTGAGGTGAATGAATGCACTGTAAACAGCAGCGACTTAGCCGCCGGAGGATGCAGGACCCTACAGTAAGAACCCCTAGTGTGGAGACACTCTTTGAGGAAAAAGGTGCGAACAAACAGAGCCAAAGTAGATGGCGTTTCGACGTCCAAAAATTAACTGTTCACCGCCAAGTATTTAGAAATTATAGAGTATCTATTTATCTACCCTAAGAATCCGGGCCCTCAAACACATATGGTTTTGAGGGCCTGGACCCCTGCTATGAAGGGTCCGACCCCTGCCATGGAGAGACCAAGGATTCTTAGGGTAGAGAGAGAGAGAGGAAAAAAAGAGAGAGTGAGAATGAGTCAGAGAGGGGGAGGTCCGCTGGCAACAAAAGAACATGTCCACGGTCCAGCACCCTGGCTTATTGATACTTTTTGTACTTTTGCAGGTAGTTTCCACACAGGCCTTCTCGTCCGTTCAGTCTCTGCGGGTGAAGACAGGCCGTTCTGGGAGACGCTGGCACGATGACTTCCAAGACAGGCCCACGGTCCTGGCGCGTCCATGGCGCGTCCGGACCATCTCCCACAGACTCCGAACATCGTTGACCCCTGATGGCTAAAGCCGCTAACAATCCAATTCCATGTTACTTCTCCGGTCAGGGCTGTTAACTGATGTGTCTTGAGTGTTGCGCATTTCAGGGCGCGGCAACCGCTTACTGCTTGGAGCTGGCATCACCTCGACCTGGTGGCATCACTGGGTCCCCATGGCCGATACACTGGCCGACTCTATGGTTTCAAATGTTTCAACCATGGACCGTAGCCCACCATCTGAGTTGCTTGGCTCATGAATATTGGCTTAGCAAGGCTGCCCAAGTAGAGCAGCAGGAAAGCTAAAAAAAACAATTTCCGGACGGTGCCCTGAACAGTCTTGGATGATGCCTAGGAAAGGTTGACATCTTGAGGGCTGAGGGATATGGTGGTTGAATGATGTTCAATCTTCAAAGCTCCATGTCTGGGTTCTCCATTGCTCCCCCGGAACCGCTCCTGCCCCAGCAGATGGATCTCATCAATGATCACCAAGCCCACCTTCCGCACGTACCTCTCTGTCAAGGAGACAAGCCCCCATTGGTGACCCAGTCACCCCCTTCTCCGACGTCATGGAAGATGTAATTGCTTTTAACATGCGTTTGTTTGTTTTTCTTCATGTTCGGCGGGTGCTGTGAATGTGTTGACTTTGAGAAAGGTCCACGGAATGTGGATCCTACACGGTGACACACGTGTTAGATCGGCGCCGTGTTAGATGTCGCACCGAGGAAAATACGATGCTCTCGACCTTACGGGGGGTTGAAATGCGCAAAAAGGACAATAACACTTCACCCCGCGGAGGATTGAAGTGGTGTCGGATTAAAGGGGCTTGAAGTAATACTGGTTTATTGTTTAATCGGATCATGTCCCATGGCCTAAAGGTACTTGAAGTCGGGTCCGTTCTTTTTTCTCATGGAAGTGCACGAGAAGAGGGTGCGGCTAGAAAACCACCCTTTTTGACCCGCAATCAGAGGGCTAGGTGGTGCAAGGCAGTGCAAGGGATGAAATTATGCACGGCGTAAAAGTTCTTTGATTACTTTCCCTGAAATCATGGGCCCACGTGGATGGCCATGGCCCGAAGAAGACTGGAAGATGACTCTGAGTGATCCGAGGACCAAACAGGTGGTTCTATCTCCAGGTTGGCCCATGATGACTTCAGGGAGTGTACCTTCCCTTCATTCCTTCATTCTTACAATCCATTTGAATGAGAAACAAGGTTTCCTCGACCAAATTGCAAACATGAAGATTGGAAGTGGGGCTTACATCAAACTGTGGTGAGGTAACAGCTTTCTTCATCTACCAGGACCCTCCAACGGGTGTCTATCCCAGACACTCCATGTATGCCATATATGCCTACATTGGTTTTGGGGGTCAATGTAGGCATATATGGCATACATGGAGAGTCTGGATATTTATAACCCCTTAGCTGTTAAGGGGTGTCCATTAACCACCTTTTGGGGTCCTGGTAGGTGGCTCCGTACACTTGATCTTGATACTCTGTATTGTCACTGTCTGGACCATGACTCTGGGCCTCCAAGCCTCCAATCTGAGTGAATGAAAGCATCCAATATCATCCAATACAACCCAACACAATCCGCAGTGGTCGCATCCTCACCTGCGGACCAATGGGCTCCATTCTTGCAACCACCAAGATTCGATGCTCCATTCGTCCTCCCGCAACTCTAGCCTTTGGAGGATCCCACGATCTAACCTTTTTCAACATCATCTCCCTTCTTCCTTCCCCATCACCCTCCTTCCCCATCGCTTTC